AACAGCACCTATGAAAGCAAGTATTTCAACAGGCTCTTCTTCCTTTTTTGCAGATGTAGGCAGTTTTGCATTACCTTTGGTTTCCACTGTGGTGCTCTGTGTCACATGGTGTGACCCCCCCACCCCACCCCCAAAACAGGCTCGCAGATAACGGCCCACCTAGCCCTGGGAAGCAGCGCTTAGGGTGGCCCACCCCAGTGGGGTGGTGAATGCCCGGGTGTCTAGAAGCAGACCCATGTGCACAAGGAGAAACACCGCTCCAGAGTTTATGTGGGTTTGGGGATTCGATCTACAGCTGAGGAAGGTGAGGGCAGCTGGGAACCATGAACTAACGGAATTCCTTGACTGCGGTGTCCCCCGACCTTAGAAAGGACGAAAGCTGCCTTTCAGAAAACAGGCCCGAGTTCTTTAAAGTGGTCAGTTTTCAGCTGAGACGTGAGAGGAACACAAATGACTTTCCGCTCTGCCCACAGGCGGCCTGGCCTCGTTACTTACTAGGTCGACAGATCAGAAACACTAATGTACGCGCCAGAAAGGAGTGTTCACTCTTAGAGGGAAAAACAGCGCTCATTCACAAATATTTCTTGAACTCCTGTTTCGTGCAAGGCGTGAGGGACACGGCAGTAAGACAAAGTTCCTGCCCTCACGGAGTTTCCAGGCGCAAGACAGAATTGCAACGGCTCTTACAGTTGTGATAAAGGCTGTGAAAGACAGGCAAGTGCTCTAAGAGTTTGTGGCAGGAAGACCACATCTCACCTGTTGGGATCACGGAAGGAGGCCACCGGAAGAAGAGACCTGAAATAAACAGTAGACCCACAGTGGGGGAGGGGTGTGAGAAGCTTGAAACCCCGGAACAGGCAAGAAGCTGGTACAGCTTGGGCAGAGAAGGGAGTATGCTGGGAGATGAACTTGAAGCTACTGTAAGCAGGGGCCGGAGCAGGCAAAGCCTTGGGCTCACACTAAGGATTTTCAGCCTAAACCTAAGGAGAGTTTTGAGCAGGGACGTGAATAGATTTACATCTTTTTTTTTTTTTTTTTTTTTTTTTTTTAGTTTAGTTTATTTATTTTGAGAGAGGGAGAGAGCAAGGGAGGGGCAGAGAGATAGGGAGAGAGAGAATCCCAAGCAGGCTCCACACTGTCAGTGCAGGGCCCGATGTAGGGCTCAAGCCCACAATCTGTGAGATCATGACCTGAGCCAAGATCAAGAGTTGGACGTTTCACCGACTGAGCCACCCAGGTGCCCTGACATAGATTTACATCTTTATAGGATCAGTCCACTTGTGGAGAATGGATTGAAGGGAGGCAGGAGGGGATGTAGTGGAAGAGAAAAGGGGATATTATTGGAACCCAAGGCAGAGAGGTAACACCTGTTCACTGCACAACTTTGAGGCTTGAGTAGAAGTTAAAATCGATGGGCTTCAAGGTGGGTCAGGTGTGTCAAGTTAAGGGGAGGCAGGGATCAAAGAGTATCCCAGATTACTGGCATAAGAAACTCAATGGGTCTTGGTAACATTTACTAAGAAAGAAACCCTGGAAGAATTTGGAGAGATTGTGAATTCATCTTGGATATGCGCACTGAGAGTGTGTGTGATGTATCCAGGCAGAGAAGCCGAGGTACTTGGATAGATGGGTCTGGAGCTCAGAATGGTCTGGGCTGGAACTCTATTTAGTGGTCTCTGTTTGGCACAGAGATGCAAATGAAAGCCAGGGGCTTGGACAAGATCACTTAGGGAGAGAAAGTATGGTATTAGAAGAGGGTCTAGGACTGAGCACTGAAGAAATATTCCACTTACAACCAGTGTGGAGGAGAGAATAAAGGAAGCCAATGAGACATATAGGAGTGTGGTAGCAGGCTCCAACATGGACCCCAGTGATTCCCCACCCCTTGGTCTTTATGTGCTGTGTAGCCTCCCACATGGGATAGCGCTAACCTGGGTAGCCAATGCAGTATCGTGGAAATGACCGTGCACGACTGAGGTTGTGGCTACAAAACCTTTTAAGACTTCAGAGACCTAAGGTGGTCCCTAAAAAAGTTGTTCAAATAATAAGGGTTATTGTCCCTCAGCAGTCTGAGCAGCAGCCCAAGGCAAAGAAGGACTTATCTCCAAGAAATATGTGGGTGTGGCTTTTGCCTAATGGAGTGAACTGGAGTAAGACTCAGAGGAGACACACAGAGTTCAAAAATAATTATATTTGCATTAACATTATCAGCTTGGACTGAAAGAGATACACTACAAAATGTAAAGAGGGCTTTATATCCCCCAAATTCTACTGGGTGGTAATGGGCTGAGAACATGTTAACTGTCTATCTACACGGGCTACCTTTCACTGAAAGGAAAAATGACTCAGAGGATGGAACCAAGAGTCCAGCCTCCAAGCTGGCACCCAACATTCCCCACCTTCTGGTATCCACACCTTTGGGTACTTCCTTCCTCTCCACACTGAATTAGACTGACCTGTGTAACCAGTATACTGTGGAGTGCCAGCGTGTGGTGTTTGAGGATAAGCCGTAAAAGCCATTGCAGCTTCCACCCTGCTCTCCTGGATCACCTGCTCTGGGGAAAACCAGCTACCATGTCGTGAAGACATTCAAGCAAGCCTACGGAGGTGCCCGCATGGTGAGGCATTGAGCCTCCTGCCAATGGTCGTGTGGGTGAGCCATCCTGGGTGGACCCTCCAGCTTCCGTCAGGCTTCCAGAGGACTGTCGTGCCAGATACCATGGGATGACCCTCATGAGGGACTCCAAGCAAACCGACGCAGTTAAGCCGCACCAAAATACTTGACCTGTAAAAGCCAGGAGGTGATGTTTGTTGTTTTAAGATATGTCTTGGGGGTACTGTGTTAACATGATACACCTTAGTGTAATTCGTAGCATGTCTTAGGGTAATGCAACAGATCATTAATACAAAGAGAAAGACCAAGAGTGAGCTCATGAACGGTAGATGAGCTCTTGTTTCAAGGGGACAGTGGACATGGGTATAAGTGGTGAGGGACAGCCGAATGTCTCTTCCCTGGATGACAACAAGGCCCAAATAGCCATCCTTAGTTTCGTGTGGAAAACAAGAAAACCCCCACTACACTCAGTCTACTTGGTGCGAGAAAACTAAGAAGTATCTATCATTGTTCTCCAGGACCTCGTTGAAAACATGTTCTGCAAGTCTGCGATGCCTCTCAAGGACACTGCATAGATGTCTTGCTGAACTTATCCACTCTTTCAGTGGCCTTCTTGTGCAGATACGTCATGCCATTAGTGGGCTGTACGTGAGCAGGGGAGCCCGTCGTGCAGCACCTGGACTGCTGGACTTGCCTAGGTGCTCATACAAGCGAACTCCAGGCTAAAGCAAAAGCTTAAGATAGAAAAAGACTCCGAAAACCTTTTACCAAAAATGCTCACCACCACCTCATATTTATGTTTTAATTTATCTTTGAAAGTACTTTCACAACATCTTATTTTACGCTCACAACCACCCGTGTGAGGAGGGTGGGTGGGTGGGTTTGTAGAAAAGGCAGATACGGGTCATTCCCAAATGAGGAAACAGGCTTCAATTGCTTGGTTAAGGCCACACAAACCATTCATGGTTGCAGGTCTCCTGGTATCAGGTTGAGTGCTTTTCTCCAAAAGATCCAGGCAGCATTAACCAGGGACTATTCACCTGGCACCTTCTTTCTATAAATAATCTCAAAACAGCTCGAACGTCACCTTCTGCAGCAATCTATCTGCCTTATGCTTTAATACTGGCTTTTCTGAAACTGGAATTGTGGAAGGGGTGAAGATCCTCTGTCTTCTTTCCACATTGGTTCCTATGCAACTGTACAAACTGAATGTCTTACACAGCAGTCCTCAGGAGTGGCTGGATGGTAATGACACCCTTCAAAACATTCCTCATTGGAAGCTGCCTTCAGAGAACAAAACCTCTTTCCGGAAGAAAAGCGGTCTATTAGTTCAGAGTTATGTTTCATTTTTGAATTACAAATAGCATCATTCCCTTGACCATCTTCCTTAATCGGATTTTTAGCCGTTTCCTAAATGTTACTCTATGCTCAGAGACCAAAACTTTACAAACACTGAGTATATGCAAACGTGCTGGTTACAGACTCTGAGGGGCTTACCCCAAAGACATTCCAGAAAGGTTAGAGCGATAGCACTAACAGAACACTAACACCTCTGAACAGAACTCCTCTGAGGAAGAAAACCCTCATAAGGGTTTGTATCAGGAATGTATGGCAACGCTATTAATTAAAATAATGACTTGTCTGTGTTGAGTGGCACTTGATATGTCTTGTCTAATTTAATCCTCAAAAGAATCCTATGAGGTAAGACACAGTTCTATTTGTTTAAAAATCAAACCTTACCATGTGATCACACAGGTGTAACGCCCTTATATCATAAAGGGCAAGGAGTAATTCCTAAAAACTATAGGAATGAATGGCTCATATAATGTCTCTCAAAAGCTTCCACCTCCTCAGAGGGTTGGTCTGTAGGGATCTGACCCAATTTGGTGGTTTTCACACATTTTCAAGCCTGTTAGTGTTTTGCCACTCCTGTATCAGTGCACATTTTAGTCTACTGTAACTGGATAGAGATAGTAGAGGACAGAAGTAAGTACATTTTTGACTTCTGAGAAACTCAAGACATTTCCAATTTTCCTCATCTCGCTCTGTGGCTCCAAAATGACTTCTATTGTACCCATCAAAAGGAGGAAGACACACAAAACCGCATCTCAAACTGATCTTTGCTTCTTTTTTTCTCCTATGATGGTTTGGTCCAAGAAGGTAAGAAATGAAGACTTCATCCAAGAATCTGTTCTTTTATTTCTTTTCTTTTTTTTTTTTTTTTTAAGTTATTGATTCATTTTGAGGTGGGGTGTGGGGAGAGAGAAGGAGAAAGAGAATCCCAAGCAGTCTCCCTGCCACTCGAGCTCACAAACCGTGAGATCACGACCTGAGCCGAGATCAAGAGTCGACTAAGTCACCCAAGTCACCCAAGTGCCCTTCCAAGAATCTATTAAGTAGCAATTTGAGGAGCCAAGATTTGCTACCAGGTATCCATTTGTATCTAACTATCTAGATATTGATGTAGATTTATTTAGATAGACATAGATACATTGTTTAATACTGTGTTTCTTGAAAACCATCTCACCAAGTGTGATCCGATCTGTGTTTCTAGCTCCTTCAGAGTGATCGAGCCACAGGAGAAGGCAGCCATATGAGAACCACTATGACCAAGAGGAAGACCATCAGCCCATCCCAAACAAGACACCCGGAGGCATGACCCCCAGGACTTCTGCCGTGGCCATGTGCCTTAAACCAGTTGACTACTTCCTGGAGGTCAAATGGCTGAGCCTCGTAACCCAGCTCTTTCTTGGCCTTCTCTAGACTAAAGTAATGTGTGACGCCAGTTTTGTAAACTTCTGTGCGGGTGAGGAAGGGCTGGAAGTTGTAGAGCCGACCAAAAAGGAAGTGAGCCATTTCTGTCAGGAAAGCAAAACAGTAGATGAGGGTCAAGGGCAGGCGGATGGATGGGAACCTGTAGCCCAGGCCCTCAACTAGAGGCCGGAGGAACTCAAAGTTGTTCACGGGTCTGCCGTCCGAAATGAAGTAGGGCTGCCCAGAGGCCACGTGGCCCTTGGCAGCTGTCAGGGCCTCTGAGGCCAGAATGTGAGCCTGGACCAAGTTATCCACGTGGACAAATTCAACCAGGCTCCCAGGATCCCCATACACAAACTTGAAGAGACCCCTCTCAATGTAGCTCACTATCCTGGGAAGGTGCCTTTGTTCTCCAGGCCCGTAGATGCCAGCCGGCCTCAGAGCACAGGTTCTCAAGACACCATCACTTCTTACCAGGGCAGCACCATTGGCCTCCAGCACTTTCTTTTCTGCAATAGATTTGGTCCGAGAGTAGTGATCAGGATGGAGGTGAAGAGGTAGGTAAGGCAGAGATTCATCTCCATTTCTGATAACTTGACCTCCAAAGATGACATTGAAAGTGCTAGTGTAAACTAACCTTGGCACCCCTCTCCTCCTGCAAACCTGGAGGATGTGGTCTGTGCCCCCGACGTTGACATCTTCAATCAGGCTTCGATTCAGCTGCTCCCGCCCCGACATGCCGTAAGAGGCGATATGGAACACACATGCAATGTCCACATCCTGGAAGGCTTTCTCCACATCACAGAGGTGGCGAATGTCTCCGTGTATAAACTTGACTCCCTCTGGCAAGGGATGAGCAGGGCTTTTGATGTCAAAGAGAATCACGTGGAATCCTTTCTGGTTCAGAGCACAGCCTAGGCTGAAACAAGGAAAAGCAAGTTAGATCGAATCGTGACTAAGCTATGCCTGACGAAAACCACATAAAATAATTTACCAATCAATGTGGGGCTGACCCAAGTCTTCTGGGCTTATCCTGAGTCCCCTCGCTTTACATGTTCATTGTGCAACAATCCCTTATGTAAGCACGCAAATATTCAAAACTGAGGATCCACATATCCTTGCTTCTTCTATCTTCTCACATAGATGGCAGCAACTACAGGTTCCATTTTCCCCCTCTGTTTTAGGACCCACCATCCATTCTTTGGGACATTCATGAATGATAACGGAGCTGCAAAGGAATAACTTATTATTTGGGGGCACCCGGGTGGCTCAGGCACTTGAGCCTCAGACTCTTGGTTTCGGCTCAGGTTGTGATCTCATGGTTCGTGAGTTCAAGCCCAGCATCGGGCTCTGTGATGACAGCGTGGAGCCTGCTTGGGATTCTCTCTCTCTCCCTCTCTCTCTCTCTCTCTGCCCTCCCCTGCTCACTTTCTCTATCTCTTTCAAAAACAAATAAATAAACATTAGAAAAAAGAGTAAGTATTATTTTAAAATGTTTTTGGTGGGCGCATTATCTACACCCGCCCCCAATTTAATGCCTTTACAAAGAATCTTTCTTAAAGTAGTATATATCTGTAGTTCTGAATTTCAATGTCTGAGCAGTGGGCAACCTAGTTCATTTCTGGTTTAACACTGTTCAAATGAGTAAAAGTCTACACTGTACTCATGTCACAGTCAAAAGCTGTCATTTTTTTCCCAGCAACTACCAATAAAATAATTCCAGAGACTTGTTTATCGATGCACTGACCGGAAACCAAAATAGCCACCTCCTCCTGTAATAAGGACTGTTTCCTTCGGGGATTTGCGGGAGTCCATAGGTGGCGGTCAGGAGCTCACTGGACCTAGTAGAAAGAAATGCAACAATGTTACTGACCCCGCCTGGCCTAGTGCTGCATCAGAAAAGGGGAGCTGATAACAAGGCTTACGAAGACTCAGCAGAACGCCCGACAGAGGACGGGCACTCCGTGATGTCATTTCTCACACTTCCTTTGCTTGGAGCTCTAAGGTCTGGGGATTGGTTGTCCCATGACCTTTCCACGCACCAAGGTCACATCTCTCAAAAGCACAGGGTTGCGGAAATGCTTGATGAGTTCTTCTGCATAACCGTACTAAGTACCTGAGATCGCCAGGAAAGCTAACCGGTCCACCATGCAGAGAGAGGTCAGTTGGTGGGACAGCTACGGAGGCTGTTTCTAAACACAGTGGATGTCAGTCACTGATATTTCAACCCAGACTTCCTCCCTGTATCTCCGTGATGTGGTGGCAATCTCCCTCCCTGACTTCATCTGGCCTTCTCCCGCCGCCCACTGGACTCCCTTTGAGATGCCAAGCCCGCCTGCAACTTGAGGGCTACACACACCTTCTATTTCACCTTAGTGGGAAGGGCTGTTCTTTGCCCGGCTGTACCTTTCCCAATCGCTAGGTCTGCCTGAATGTCACTTGCTCAGTCAGGGATGCTTCTCTGATTGCCCTAAGGGAGAGCCCCTGACCTTAAATACTGCTGTTGTTTCTTCCTGGCACATCTTATCACCTGAAAGTATCTTTTTTTGTTTTAAACTATTGCTCTCCTTACAATAGAACATAAGTTCCATGAGAACTGAGACCTTCTGCCTTTTCCACTGACATGTCTTTTCCAGAACCTACCACATGGCAGATGTTCAACAAATATTTGTTGAATTTACGGGTGATTTTGAACACTGTGAAATACACCCAGTTGAGTAAAATTGTTTTGGGCACAAATGATGCAGGGCTCTGCAGTGTGTAAGAGTCATCACTGTGTAAGTCAAAGAACACTGCTGCTTTCTTTTCTTTCTTTCTTTAACATTGCCATTTTCATTAAACTTCTCTCCTAAGAAATTCTGAGGGGTGCCTGGGTGGCTCAGTCGGTTAAGCATCTGACTCTAGATTTTGGCTCTGGTCATGATCTCACAGTTTTGTGAGCGTGAGTCCCGCATCGGGCTCCATGCTGGCAGCGTGGAGCTTGCTTGCGATTCTCTAAGTAAATAAACAAACAAAAGTCTGGGTTATGGAATGAAAACAACACAAAGCTACATGAGACAGAACTCCTGCATTCTGGAACTGACGATGGAGTGAGGCTTTTGGAAGCAGCTAAACTACAAGGTGAAAAGGAGGAAACAAGATTGCTGTCACGTGTCGGTGTAAGCAAGGTGCTGTGGGAGCACTGAGCTGGGCGTGGAGAGAAACTGACTCTGAAGACCTCATCAGAGAAGACTTCACTGCGAAGTGGGCATCAGAGCTGAAGGGTGACAACAAGAGGACTGAGGCGGGCTGAGACAGGCTGAGGGAGCATGATGAATGAACAGAATGGTGACAGGAAAGGCTGTGTTAGGTAATTAATACAGTGATTCAGGCGGGAAAGATAGCCTGGGGTCAGCTTGGAGACACCTCTGAGCTCCTGAAGGGGAACGTGAATTCTATTCTGCAGACAACCCAACGGCCCCAAGCCCTCTGGTCCTTGCAAAAGATCAAACTTTTCCCGGAGGGAAGGAGAGCCTGGAAACCGGCAAGGTCTGGGTAGGAGGTGATGGGGCTGTGCTAGAGGCCTATCAGTGAGGACACAATGCCAGGGTGCTCCGCTGAAATCAGGATGTGAGCCGGCGGCGAGCAACTGGGTGAGGCCGCAGTGGGCCACACCCAGGCGAAGTCTGAGGGGTGTGCCATCATTAACCCAAGCGACACACACAGGCTTTGAAAACGTTCTGTTTGGTTAATAGAGTTCTGATTAATAGGATGCCAGATAACAAAGTCTAAGATTTTTTAAAAATTTTTTAATGTTTAATTATTTTTTTTGAGAGAGAGAGTGAGCAGGGGAGGGACAGACAGAGCGGGAGACAAAGAACCCGAAGCAGGTTCCAGGCTCCAAGCTGTCAGCACAGAGCCCGACGTTGGGCTCGAACCCACGAACTGTGACATCATGACCTGAGCCAAAGTCCGACGCTCAACTAACTGAATCAAACTGACTGAACCACCCAGGCGCCCCAAGGTATTCTTAGTATCTCCACAAGAATTCCACGGTAAGGGATTCAGAAAATGGACCAGGCCTCAGAGTCCAATTAAGAAAATTCCAACAGAAATTCTCCCTAATCTCTTAATTATTCTGTTTTTGAAACCACCCACTCCGGACCAGTCACAGGACCACAGGTCAGTCATGGCACATGTGCACATTAATCATGCTGGGAATGTACAAGTGCACGTTATTAATGCTTCAGGGGACCTGCCAGGTCTATTCACCCTCCTTCTCATCAGCTTCCAACTACTGCCACAAGGATCCGAGGGGAGAACTTGTATGACTGACCTGATCAAGGGGTCAGACGAGAAAGGTGGCAATGAACAGGGGAAAAGTAATGATGGGGCAAGACATCGAGGAAAAGAAGCCTATCCACCAGGTGGGTAAAACCTTCACAGATCACCAGCCATTAACATCCCCACCCGGAGCTGCCTTCTTGCTTCCTGGCTCCCTACATCAAAAAGCACAGAAAAAAACACAAAAAACAAAAAACACTGCAGTAAACACATCTCCCGGAAAACTGCAACAAACTTCCAAGAACACTAAGCCAGAAGGGAGAAGAAGCATATACAATTTTTCTTCAACTAGCTGCCTGACTTTTACATTCTTCATGGCTTCTGTTTTATTAATTAGTTACCATCTGATTCCTCCTGAGGCTGGGCACTCAGGCCAATGTTTATAATCACAATTACTTTAAGGCTCTTTCAAAACCCAGCTTAGTAATTGCTTTCCTCTGGGTGGAGGGGGGGAAGGGTCACATCTGACCTGAGCAGTCATTCTATCAGATATGGGTTAAAGTTAAGTACATGATCCAAAAAAAGGAATCTTAATTACAAACAGGAAAAAATGAAATTTAAATCCGCCTGACCTCTTGATAATACTAAGATAAAGTGAGGGTAATAAAGTTGACATCTCACAGGGAAGTTATGAGAAAACTCATAAAAATGACTACGGGTACCTTAGACTTACAAAGACCTAATTAAATGCGAAGGATCAGTAATAAGAACCTTAGATTATGCACACAGTTCCTTCATCCCTTGAGTTCAAGTTGATGACGTTACTAACCCTCTGGTATTATAATGTAATATACAAATCTAGGTGCCACTGGAGTCCACAACAGATAGGAGAATTGAAGACTGCTTTCATAAAAATAAAATTTTACTACGTTTGCTTTAAGCAAGATAAAATAACTCCAAGTAGTTTAACCCTGTGATGGTGTGTTTTAAATTACTGCCCAAGTACTACCTAGAGGCAAAAGGTAACTGTGTTCTTACTGGATTGAGATCAGGAAAATACATTGAGGCTAGAGGGTTTAGAAATGGTACTGTTCAAATTCCATGCGTGATCTAAAAATTATTTGTGTTTAATATCAAGCAAAGCAATAAAGATGTTGTTAAAGATAAGGAGAGTAACCCTGATACAGGTGAAGGGGGTGGGAGGTATACAACCTAAAAGGCCAAATACACTTGGAAAGAAAATTAACTGGAAAGTCGATATACTCATAACAGAGAGTAGCATTGTGGTTACTGGAGACTGGGGGTTGGAGGAAATGAGCCGGCACAAATTTCCAATAATAAGAGAGAGTAAGTTCTGGAGAACTAGTATACAGCAGTATATGTGACTACAGTCAACAACACTGCATTTTATACCTGAAACCCGCTAAGAGTAGCTCTTGAAAGTTCTCAGCACACACTCAATAATTATGTGAGGTGCCTGAGATGTTAACATACTTTATTTTGGTTATTTCACGGTATAACAAATCATCACATTGCAAGCCTTAAATTTACAGTGTTAGGTCAATTATCTCAATAAAGCTGGAAAAAAAAAAATATCTTAAACTACCCCCCCCCCCC